AAGTGGTAGGAGGCGCCAGTAGCAACACCTCTACATCCCAGCACAGACAGCAGCTGCCGATCTTCGGTGCCTTGCCCAGGCAGAAGAAAGCATGGACTTAAAAGATAGGAAGGAGCTGTCAAAGCTGTCACCTAGGGCAGTATTGTACAGCCAGTAACAAGATTCACTGATGAGTCTTAAGAAGATAGCAGGCATTTAGATCTGCTAACACCCAAATCAAGCCTAGGCTAGAACCTGCCAGGAATGCTTTCTGCAGTGCTTTTCCATTTTGCCCATATCTCTGAAAGGTGGGGGATAATACTTGGAATAGGGTAGATGTGGTTCGGTTGTACATGTTATATACTGGACCTCATTGCAATCTCTTTGTGACAGTAATGTAAAGGAAGGCTGGAACATTGGCACCGAAGGTCAGCACATGAGTCTGAGAGTCGAAAGGCATCTCAGAAGAGATGATTTCCCCGCACCCGCCTGTGCCTGCCACCTGCTGGTGCCCAGCACAGCCTTGTTGCTCCTCTAGGGCTGCTGGGAGCAGTTACATGGAATAATTTCAGTTGTCTATGCTGACCTGCCTGGTCTTGCTTGCACAGAAACCCTGGACCACAAACAGATTTAAGGGATATGCGAGCTACTGTGCTTCTGCTCCTTTACTGGCACGGATCAGCAGCCAGCCCTGCTTGTATCAGGAGGTTTTGTTCCAGGTGTAACAAAAGCAAGTTTGTTCACAGCTGGATTAGTAATTGCTTGAGTCAATATTAAACCTCATAAGGAAAGATCAGAGTGGTAGGTGAAGGTAGGTGTTGAGGGGGGAAGGTTGCTTCTCTGTTCCTTCACAGCCATGGAAAGAGGCTTAATAACCAAGCAAATAGCCCACCCTCCTGGCTCGCGGTTCTTGCACACACTTTTGATATTATCAGCAGGATAATAGAGAGGATAATGTAGAGCAGAGGAGGTCTTTCCCTTCCATTTAGCAGTGTGATCCTGCTTGAGACAAGGCTTTCCAGCATCTTGTCACTCGACTAGTTTAGACCTCTCCCACTTGGCCTTGTACGGCTGTGGAGTAAGTACTAGCAGCTATTTCTCCATGATGTAAAGAATTATTAAAATAGGTGTGTGTGGGGGGGTTCATACTCTGTTGTTTTTTTTTTTTTTGATTTTTTTTTTTTTAATTTAAGAAACATGGTGCTTTCTCTGCCTGATTTCTGAACATTCTAATTTTCCCACACTTGGGTATGGGTTTTTTGCTGGCAGGGTACCAGCAACCAGAAGCCTTGGTTCCCTGCATGAAAGATGAAAAGGAGTAACTGTTTCTAAGAGCTATTCGAAGTATCCAAGTAAGGTGCTTTTGTCTGCCTAATTAACTGTTTAAGGAGTTACTGTACCTCTGGAAAACAGTCTGTTGCTGGTTCATCCTGAGAAACAAACCCATTATAGATCGTCAGTGGGAAATGATCTGCACTGAAGATCCATTTCAGTACAGAAAGGTAAAGACTGATGAACCATACTTACCTGCACCTTCCCAGGGATAGCCAGCTGCTTGATATTTATGCTGAATGAGGAATGAACTTGCCTGCAAGTTGATGTGGTGATCAGCCCTGAGTTAGTCTAACACAGAGTGTGTTAATTGCATACCAATAGGCACAGGGGAAGGCAGGGAAGTGTGTGGTTAAGTTACTTACTGAGCTTCGTGGCCTCATCGCTTTCCAGAACCATTTGCTTACTTGCTGGGTCCTGAATCATTTTTGTGGAAGATCATTTCAGTGCTGAATGTTCCATATCTTTAAATGGAAAATGTATCATATACACATCTTTCTGATACAAGCTAATTGATGTAATGGAGTGAGAGTTGACATGTTATGTATTTTTTTGGCTGTATTTGCTTTTATCAGTTTTATCTCAATCAATTAAGTCATAGCAATCTTAATATGCCAAAGAGAAGAGATTCTAAAAACTTGCAAAAAGTTCCAAGTTATTTGTTGGCTCCAGGAGGGAGCAGCCAGACAAAGGTATGCCAGTGAGAGCTCATGACAGCTCCGCTTAGGTGTGTGTACTTTGGAAACTCAGTCAAGCTGTAACCTGCACATACAAAGATAAGCAGGTTGTTTATTAGTTATTGAACATTCTGCCTTGGTGTAAGCACACGAAAAATCTGCATCTTAGTTGATGTGACAGGAACTCTGTCTGCCTTTGCTCTCAGATGCAAACTAAAGCAGCTTAAGTACAACTATACTAGCAGAGTGTAATCTGTGAGGTTTGTGTACAGTATTTTCTTGAACACTACAGGTCATGTGGATATATGTGCACGCATGCAAATATTTATATATACATGCGTATAGACACATACATACATTCAAGCTCCAAGTTTTGAGCAAGAATCCCAAACCACTTTTCTACCATTTTTCTACCGCAGCCAGGGGAAGGGACAGGAGAAAGCCCCGTGAGTACTCTGGCTGAAAATTAGCAGAAGCTAACAGAAGAGAAGACAAATTAGTGACCCTGGGAAGACAGAAGGACTGTGGTTGCAGGAACATGACTTCCTTTGGCATGTTCTTGCTTGTTTGCTTTTAATACCTATTTGGGTCTGATTGTTACTACTTGCTGGAACATGAATGCTTTCACAGCTCCTTGTGTGAAGGAATGGCAGAGGGAAGTCATGTCCCATGAGTGCAATAGGATGTGAAGGCTATATGGTGTTGGTTAGCTGAGGTTTGACTTTACAGGCAGTAAAAAGACTGAATGGGAAACCCATGGACAGTTAGATCTAGCTAACTGCACGTGAAGCATGGCACAGAGCAAATGCAGTTGGCATTGCTGGGTGTTTCCTTGGGGATGCTGGGCAAGTTAAGCTGTAAGTATCTCATCTAGGAAAGGGAGCAAAGCTATTTTTAGTCCCCCCCGCCAAGAGTCTGAAACAAAGCTAGGTAAGATTGACGGACATCTATGGAGATTAAGAATAATTAAGAGTTAAAAATAGAGGTCAAACCCTCCCAGTGCTTATTCTCTTTCTTAGCCTAGGGTGAGTACATTTCTTTGAGGTGAAGGAAGGGGAAACAATGGGGAGTGTTTTGTTTGTCTGAAATATTTTGGGACTTAGAAACCCCAAACATTTAAATAATGCTTTGAAGTGATTACAGCTGCTGTCCAATCTTCCATTTTTTGTCAAAAAACCTCCTTTGTTCAAGGAGACTCCTGCAAAAATGTGTGCTCTTAGACCAGGGCGTTGACAATATGCCATTTTGCAATAATTATTATCCTCCATCTTGTATGAACAAACTGGATTTGTGGTAAAACAGATCCTCACATTTTCTAGCTTACGCTGGTACTTGACATTGTCTGGGCACATGTTTATTTCTCAGCAGTTCAGGTTTATTTTTCACCTTCAGTATTACGGAAAGGGGAGACTGGTGATTTTCAGCTTATTTATTTTGATCCTAGTACGTGTGGACTTGTCTAAGCAATAGTTTCTATTTCTGGTTAGTACATAAATCCTTGCAGCTTTCCCAGAGCAAGGAAAAGCTCTAATATTTGCCGCAAAATGTTTTCCTTACATCCTTTTGTGGATGTCCATAGGCTGTTCTGCATGTCCAAGAAAAAAGAAGACTGAATGGACTCGACTTTAAAGGGTTAAACAACATGGGGATTTTTTTATTGCACACTATAGGAAAATGGAACGTGTTGCAAAGGCCCTGATTTTTTGTGTGAATGCAAATACTGACTGAAACGACCTGTACAAGATTTCAAACTACAGATTGGCACAATGCAGCATAAATTTCTTCAGATCCAGACAGACTAGAGCAATGTTTTGCACCAACACTAAAAACTTTATAACTATGCAAAATCAGCACCAGTGGTTGGATTAATATTTTAATAATTACACACTTTTTACATTATGAAAATAAATCATAAATAGTGTAAAAATAATTCTGAAGATCAACTTCTCACAAGCAAGAAACAAAACCTGAAGTACAAAACTGAAAGAAAACAAAACAGTATTCAATCAAAAAACAAGGAGCGATTTTAATAATAAAACCAAAAAAGCATGCTGTTTGATCGGGTTCAATTAAGTCAAGACCAGAGGCCACAGGAAAGTGGTAATTAATAACAAATTAAAATGGGTGATTAAAACCTTGTAATTTACACTACTTGTCAAGAGGTCTCGTGACATACTTACAGCGCTAAGACACTCAAAATATTTCTAGTATTGATATTATGATACTGACCCATGTGTTTTTCCCCCCAAGCATTGTAATCCTTACCAAATTACTTTTGTTTGTATTTTTATCTCTTCTACTGCACTTATGAGACCATTTGCAATACAAAAATAACAGCACATATAGATGAACTTAAAAAAGTAAAAAATACAAATAAAAATATATAATATTTTCCAAAGGAAAAAGTCAGATACATACATCTTAGTAACATTTTAAAGTTGTGTGATATTTTCCCAAACATGTACAATAATATAAGAATATCCACATATATGTTAACAATATGTAAAACATTCTTCCACCAACTCAACTCTTCATAATACTTCAGAGAAGTGTGCAAGTACCAATGGTATCTGGGAAATTCATACAATTTCTCTTTTTAAATAGAAACAAGTAAAACGCTAACGGTCCCAGGTTAAGTTAAGGCCCCCTGTTTTCCAAAGAAAATTAGATTTCCAAGCAGCATTGATAATTGGATGCATTTAGAAACAAAATTAAACAAAAACAACACTTCAAATCCTTTTTTTTTCTTTTTTTTTTTTTTAAATACAAACTCCACTTGCTCTGTGTAGCATCTTTTTGAAATTCTGTCAGAAATGATGGTGGCAGGCACTTGTATCTAACAGCATTTAATGAATCCAACCACCACGTAAAACAGTTCAGTACAGAGGGTGCAAGAAAATCTTTACTTGTTCATCATAGCAACATTCAGATCCATAAAAGGAAGTTGCAGAAAGAAAATAAAGAAAATCAGGTGTTAAATTCTGGTCACTGAAATCAAATAATTTTTTTTTTTTTTTTGCAATGACTAAAATTTAGGCTTCCTTTTGACCTCTACCTTTGATATTAGTGGTTTGTGTAACTCTCCAGTGTGAAAATTTATGTGTCTCATTAGGTAAAAGACAGATATTTAAAAATGTAATTTAAGATGGTCAAGCAGCAGTGATGAGGAAATTTGAAAGGAAAGGTCAACGCTTCATGCCTTGAACATCATCACATTCAATAGACTGGGAGTATCTCTGCAGTTTTTACTCACTGAAGTGGTCTTGATTCAATCAAACCCCACTGTTAAAGTTGTTGATATTCCCCTGGTTACTAAGCATCAATACCTAGGTCCTTCCTCCTGCACGTACCAAATTGCTTTGCAAGGGAAGAATGCATCACTCATCCTGTTTCCCTGCTGGGGAAAGGGAGTTGCAGCCAAGTGAAGAGCCCAGGGGTCCAGGATCCAAACCACATCTCCTGACATGGCCCCCAGCCCTATGCAGCACCACCTGGCCACAAGGACCAAAGGTCTGCTCATCTCGTTTGGGATTGCATTGTCTCTTCTGCTGGCTTAAGAGAGTAACTGATACTCACATGCACTCTTCCATGAGTGTAATGCTCAGTGGAGCCAATGCTAACTTTCCACACTGTACAGTAATCTTAAGAATTATCCCTTTTAAAACTCTATACTTCACACTTGTGCAGGTATATGGATTTGATCATTCTGAAACTCATTCATACAACTTACATGGTAGACTAAAAATATATATATAAACAGCTGGATGAAGAGTGTCATTCTGCCTTGCTACACTATCAGAATGTGACATCAAATTCAGTAATAAATAAAAATATAAATCAAAAAAATACATTGTTCCATGAATTAGCGTTTCATGCTTTACCTCAGGAAAAAAATACAAAGATGTCCAAAGCATCCTGAAAGAAAGCTTCCCCATAGCTAATCTATGGATATGAAGACAAGGACTATGTATGTCAGACATATTCCATACAGTGCTTCAAAGGCTTGCTGCTTCTGTAACAGGACTTCTGCACAATGTGGTTATAATACACTGGAGTAACAGATGATTACAAAACCTGGTGTGAAACAAATACTGAAAACTCTCAAAAGAACAAGAATTAATCATACCTGAAAAGGTCAGGGATACAGAAACTGTGTAGACCAATACCACTACAGACTTCTACAACTGAAAGGACTGGTAGAGGAACTACTGTTCCTGTCACAAACTAAACAAAACAAATCATATCTATCTGGAGGAATGCTACTAAAAGATACAACACACAGGCAGTTCAAACTATAGCTTTGCCATCGAAAGAAAAAAAACGTATACTAGCACCAAAAATAGTACTTTTTAAACAAAATAAACATGTTGCAAGTCTTCACAGGGTGCTTTTCTTGATTAAATATTAAACACAATGCATTATTTTTTCCCTTGTCCTGAACATGCAACTTACCTACATACTGTTAGGTTTCAAGTCAATCTTTGAGATGCAAATATTAATGTCAAATCTGTGAATGTAGTTTAATGTCAAATTAAATTTATTTGCTGTTCACCCATGGTCATTTAAATGGAATGAATCTTTCAAGATGTTGAAAAACACAGAAGCTTAAAAATATAAGTTAGATTATTTTCAGGGAAAAAAAAAAAAGTATTCCTTTCTGGTGGGAATTAAATAAAGAAATTGCAAGACTGAAAAGAAAGTGAGTAAAGGTGCTGAAGTGTTTCTTTAGCAGGGTCTCAGTGTCAGGGAGTTAAAGGAAAATTGAGTTTTGACTAATGCTTAGCAGCAATATCTATAAATATTTTCTGAATGAGGAAATGAATCAAGATTCTGCCAGCTTTACTGATGCATACAGAAATGGATGCAACGAGGACAGTTTAAAAATACAGATACACAAATTTAAAAAATGAGAGTGCTAATGACAGTGTGCATTTAATGGCTCTTTATCTTGTTGCTCTTTCCTAAATAACCTGTGTTTTTGCACAGTCTTGATATGGAACTGCTAAAGCATCTAGCCAGATAAGAAACATCCTACTTGATTTAGCATCTGAATACTCTGAGGGCCAATTAAAAAATATTTTGTCTTACTGTATGATTGCCAGTATTTGCTATTTCATAAAAACATTCAACTTCTAGTATTCACATCTGCAATATACCCAGCCAAATGTACCAAGTCAGAGTACAGGCATAAGAAACTCTTTTTTGTTAGGTGGGCAGCTTGCTCCTCAGCCTGTTGGATTTTGGGATAGTGCTTCTTAAACAAGCAGACTAAAACTGTCAAGTTGAAGGGCTTATGTGATTCTCCCCTTGCGCCCTTTCTGGAAAGTTCCTCATTCACATTACTGCTGTTGCACTCTGATTATTAACACCTTATATTCAGTCTATGCCATGTGAAGGCTTTCACTATTGCAGCAACGATTATTCAAACAGGTCAATACTCGCATCTCTGAAAATGTAAGCAAATAAAACCATTTTCCCTTATATCTGTGAACACTTGTTTATTTCTTAGTATTGGAAAGATGGATATAAGCAGTGAATATATATATATTCAGTATATATACATCTATATACTGTTGGAACTTTGTAAGGTACTACCAGATGGAGGCCACAAAATTAATTTTTAGTTTTAAAAAAATCTGTGGAAGATTTCCCCTCTTGAAAAGCTCTTTTTGTCTCTGATACAGCAAATGACAATAAAGATTTAGCAAAATGAAAGATGGCATTATAGTGTCTTTTCCATTGATCTGAGATTGTGGATCAATATGAAAAGTGCAACCACACCAGGTCTCCATCTTCACATGATTTAGAAATGATGGAGTAAGCAAAAACATGCATTCCAAGAAGGGTAAGGTGCCCACACATGGATGGAGACAGGTTGTCTTCTTCAACTTTTGTTTTGGTCTGTGTATGAAAAACAAACCTCAGAAATGTAACTAAAAAAGTTTGTGATCATCCTGCTATATACACTAGGAATGGGAGTGCTATAAAAAGAACTTCCATGTGCCAAATATGGCACCATTTCTCATAACCTAGCCTCTCAAACTAACTACAGCGCACCATATGAAGACTCAAAACTGGAAGAAATATCTCATGGCAAAAACTACAAATGTGCACAAATTCAGTATTTCTAACAATAAAAGCAAAACTTTGCCCATGTTTGCCTAGAAAACTAGTCATCTGAACAGAAATGGAGAAATACCGACACCTTTAACAGTGTAGTGCGGTAACAAGCGTGCAGTGGTAATCACACAGACTTGCTTCTCCAATGTTTTTTGAATAATAATGTCCAGTAAGGTCACTGTAACAGCAGAAAAAGAACAAGATCAATTATGAATATAAATCAATTTGTGAAACACAAAAATAAACTATTTTTTTTTTTAGACTTAAAGGCTTCAAAGACCCGAAAATAAAAACTAAATACTGAAACAAGATGCATGTCTGGCTTGAAGTATTTTCTTCAATGCCAACATCACAAATGTTAAACAGATTATTGAAATGCATCCTTTATGGCAACAGTTATGGGAAAAGGAAACAAAATTAACCATAGCTTCCAAAATTCTGCAGAAAAGTTCTGCTAGTTTTGTGTAATTTCAACTGAATCACCTGAAAATCACACCATGGTACATATGTCTCTGGTCAGTTCCATTATCCTCCTCCACTGGAGGATGTTCTGATTCATCCTCGCCTCAAGAATGCTGTTTCCTCCAGCAGTCCCAAAACACAATATGCAGAGTACATACTCTGTCCATCCTCGTAAGGTTGAGAAGCTTCTGGTCTCAGGCGGTGTCTGCCATGGAGAAACGATCCCTGCAGCACCACTGTAACCTTTTCAAACAACCCACAGAGAAGTCTGGTTTCTTCTTCAAACTTCCTTCCTTCTTGATTAAGGACTTGACAGGGCCTGTCGTGAACGGTGAATGTCTTCACGACCGTGAGCAGTGCAAGGCAAACTGATGCTGATTAACAGGCGGGACCCCCTTTGATCAAAGGGGCCAAGTAACCTGCAAGACTGGAAGCCATCCACCTGCAGCTGGAACTCTATTCTCCAAAAATTCAAGGCCTCTTTCTATCCTCCTCTGGTTTATCTCTTTTTAGCAATAAGCCATGGTGTGACTCCCTTGGGATGACAAAAGGAAATGATTCAGAAACTGGAATCAAAGGTCACCGTGAGCAGCCATTTAGTACATAACGTGATCACACAACAAGCAGGTTTGGCACACAAACTCATGCTTTTAGTCTGTACGAGCAGATGTGGCATGAATCAGTGAAGTATCTAAGATGGACATGGAAGCCAAGTCAGTAAACTTCAATGGCGGCTGGTACAGTACATTTTGTAGCATTTTGCTCTTATTTGGTCACAATTTCTTGTAAACTAGTTCATGGCACTCATTGTCCATGCAGGTCCACAAGCCAAAATATAAGAATTTACAGAAATAATCAGATTTTTATTATTGATCATTGTATTGAGATCTCTCTCTAATGCAAGAGAGAATCTTTGCAGGTTTACCCTGCAGTTATATATCATCTAACTGCAGATGTAAGTGAAAACCAGATGTACACATGGACTATTGCAAACAAGTAAAAGCAGCTACATGTAAACATATCTCAGACTTGTAAAATCAAATTTTCAGTTTTCAACTATAAATACAAAAAGTGGAGCACTATATACACAACTTCATGCTTGTATGGTTAGATTCATCACTGCAGAGACAAAAAAAAAAGATACAGATTAATCCAATTAGTAAATTGATATTTCAGGTATCTATTCCAAATACATAGATAGAGTTACATAGGCAGAGTTACAAATAATATGGATAGTTGTTTCCTCAGCATTACCTATTCTTCAGAGATAAATGCACCTAGGGTTTCACTTATGCTTTCTGTTTTCTAATGTATTACATGCCAGTATCCTTCCACCTACATTATTCTGAATGCCATGGTTTTAAATCTAGCACTGTCTATCTTAAGTCTTTACTAAAATAATGTTGCCAGTTAACATTAGCATAGAACATGTCAGCCAAGAGTATTTATTGAAGAATAGAAAGGTAGGGAAAACTGAAGGGCAGGATGCACTGCTCTTCGAGGTATCTCAGAAAACTGATATCATAATAAGTCAAGAAAAATATTTGATAAAAGTGCCCATGAGCTTTTATAAATAATGGTAAGCAGTGGTCATGTGCAGAAGTCAAAGGATGTGTGAGTCTTCATATGAAGCAGAAAAGTCTTGGACTTTCCAGAAATCTAAAGCCAACTATTTCTACAATACTGCATCAATAAGTTATTACTTCTACATGTATATTACTACCTCATCATGCCAGCTACTGTCGTGGGAGGTCTTATTTTGCATTGTTGCATATATCTGTCTCAGAAGCTTTGAGGTATATCCTGATTGTGTTCAGTATGACTGTGACAGGCTTTTCTGTGTGCCAAAGAGGTACTGCCCCTGAAAAATAAAAGCTCTGCCCATCCTACCTTTTGCCAACAGCCAGGCATTGGTAATCCATCGGGACCCTGTTTCAAGGGGAGCAAGTAAAGAAAAACAAATAAAAAATAGAGAGAGCATAGTTAAGTTTGATAGGATAGATATTTCTTCAATATCTGTTAGAACAGCTAAAGCAGCTCTGACTTTCTAGCTGATAAGTAGCTACCAGTTTCTGACTTACTTTCTTGTTCTCAAGGTGAAAGAAAACCCAATTTACACTGTAAATACACACATGCACCCCTCTGCATAGTGATTTTTTTTTCCTAAATCATTAGAATATCTTCACTGGTTTCTTACTGCTGTTAGAGCTCAGACTGCATATTATTTAAAATATATAATAAAATATAATAAATAACATTTGTTATTCACAACAATCTGTAGCTGACTGTAAAAATCAATGAGCAACAAAATAGTATCACTTTTATCTGGAGGATATTTGTGTTTAAAATCTGTATTTAATGGGCCCCTAGTATAAAGTAAACCCAATGATAAGACAAGAAGACTCATATTTGAGTAGAATATTTTCTGTTCACTTTCATGCTTAGCCTTTGAATGAAGTAGCAAAATCTTAAGGCCCGAACATACCTCAAGTGACAAAGTGGAAGAAAACAGCGGTGGGCTCAGGGCAGTACAGCAGCACTGATAATTTTATCACTTGGACAATATAGCCATCTAATTCCTTCTTATGTTAGTGAGAGTCACTCCATTTTTCTGACACCACCCTACTTTCACATATCTCCATGCATCCAGTAAGATCAGAGTGAACTTTTGACCACAGTCATACTTATTTTCATGGAACTAATTCCAATTTACATGGCTATACAGGGTTTATCCAGAGAGTTATATGCTCAGAATTAGGAGCACGTATGATGTAACTAGACTATACATGAGCAGAAAAAAAAATATCTGGCCTTTACATTTCTTTAGACTATGGAATAACAATACTTATTATGTGAATTTACATGTGAAGATAGTGGTTCATGAGAATTTTTGAATGCGCCTGCTATTGATTCTATGCAATCTGATGGAAACAGCTTGCTGCCTAAAGCAAGAAACAGTGAAATTTTCTTAGCAGTTTATTCTAGTCATTACCTATGGACAGAATATTTTTCATCTATCAATGATTGTTAGTGAATCTCCAGATATAAATGATAATACAGAGCCAGAGAAACATTTTTAAATTGAAAAAGCATGCTTGATTATCCCCAACAAAATATGAAATATGGTTACCATTAATTGGAAGCAAACAAAATGGGCTATGGAATAATCTTAATGGACTATGTATTTAAGATTAAAATTCATTAACATCAAATTAGAAGTGCTGTAGTTGAAAATAAATCTACTTAACATTCATCTTAAAGAACCGTGCTTAACCACCAAACAGTATCAGAACATGCAGATCAAATTTTACTGCGAACAATTCAAAAGAAAATCTTCCTTGTATCTTTAGGAAACGTGTATGTTCTGTTCTTTCTTTTATTTAAGAAAAAAAAAAACCTGAAGCTTACTTTGCCATTAAATAAAAATCACTGTTGCCATATTGGTACAAGGGAAAGGGTCAACAGGTAACATTTTAGTATAGGTGGGAATTTGAATTCATGCTAACATAGGGTAGGGAGTGTTGTGTGTATTCCAGGAAGGTAAGTTCCAAGGGTAAGACCATTAAATTGAAGACGTTAAGGAACAAAGACAGTGAGGGTGTGGGCTGCAGACTGTTATCTTCTTAGGAACCTCAGGTAAGTTTTTTATTTCCAGATCTGTTTGAAAACTATTTGATGAACAGGCCAGACACCAAAAATATTACTCGTGTAAGGTCTGGGAGATCAGGCTCCAGCTTGGCTTACTGGAAACCTGTGACTTGATTTTTAGAAATAATATTTACATCATTTTGTACTCTCATTTTGACCAAATCATGAAAACACGCGCCTAAGACTGCATGGATTTGAAAGGAAGTCCAGGGTGCAGGGTAGCTATGGGACCGGGCTATGGTGAAGAACTGAGCCAGTGCAGACAGAAGTCATCAGACTTGATTAGAAGTGGAGATTGTGCTGGGTTTCTACAAAGACTTGCATTTAGGGTGAGTAAGGCAACCGGTACTTTGTGAGGGAAAATAACAAACCAGTGGATCTCAGGGAAAATGTAGGAAGGACACAAACTTATAAATTGCCATGTGATGTGGGAGCAAACTGTTGAGAGTTAGGTTTGAGGTGACAACAAAAAAAATGTGTTCTTTGATTGCAGTTATGATCATTGAAGCAGCTGGTTTGTCCATGCACATGCATGTGTTAGGTGAATAATGTAAGTCAGCTCAGAAAAACATTACACTGAGAATGGCTGACTACAAACAAAGGAACTGCATGCAGGGTTGGTAGGAAAGAGAAATACTGTACCAATTGGCAAGGGGCATCCAGCCCATCCAGGCCAGGCTGGCCTGGCTCCCCTTTTTCCCCCTTAATTCCACGGAATCCCTGTTTGTAAAGATTAACTTGCAACGTTACTGTCAAGAAAATGCCTTCAGTATTGACTTATCTGGAGTGAACAAACAACAGTAGAGAGGCAAGAGGAGCAAGCTGACCATCATGGCGTGATTTCAACCTGTGGGGCACTGAATTTGGCAATTCCCATGCTTGGTTCCTTTCTAACATATTTGGCAGAAAATAAACACCAGTAAAACCCACAAATTTGTCCTGAAGGTCTGAAGTCTAATGCTTTAAACCAAGTTAGGAGGTTGACAAACAAAGTCTGCTCCAGAATTTGCCAGAACTTGAGATCAGGCTGCGTTAACAAAGGGCAGCAGGTGACACAGTAATTGCTGCTTGCTCCTCTCCCATCATTTTTATTCCATCAGTCTACAGCAGGACAATTGATTGTCCAATACAGAAGTGAGACGTACCAATGGGCAAGGTGCATCTAATCCAGGAGCACCCTGTTCTCCTTTCTCCCCTTTAGGCCCCTTTTTGCCTTTCTTTCCCTTTTCCCCCTGTGGATACAATGGTTTGGATAAAACAAGTTTCATTCTTTTGGAAAAAAAATTAAAGAAAGATTGGTTTAAAAGTTTTGGTTTTTCTTTATAAGCCAATGGAGAGCTGAAAGGACACTTACCACTGTGTTCTGGTTTGGATGGTGCATTATGTGGAAAAATAAGTTATATAATCAAAGCAAGAACTGCAATCGGTAGGTATTAGTTTGTGTTGGTACATCAGCACTATGAATGTTTTGAATCTTAGAACAGGGCTTGAAATCATCAGTTTCTTGAGACAGAGGCAAATCTGCAAAACTTCCCAATCCACAGTCCAAAACAAGAGCTCTTCTGTTTGTTCTAAGTGGTAGTACTGAAGTGCACATGGACACTAAGCTGAATTTGTCAGCTTCCTGACAAAATTTGTCACTGGTCAGAAGTTTGTGAGAGCAGAGTACATCAGCATAGTCTCTCTAAAAAAGACCTGTGGCGTGGATGCTTCACAGGGATGGCTGGTCTCTGGCTAAATTCTATCAACTTCCAGTGTCATATTAAGGGTAAACGTAGCCAGAAGCATTTTTTGCAGAACTGACCCTTTTCACTCTGGTATGAGTTCGGGACAAATCCTGTTCTCAGTGGTGTCATACAGACATCACTGAGGGTGCACTCCTGTCATTCCAAATACAACGCGGCCATTTCAAACCCTGTTACAGGAATCAAAACATTTGAACTGCTTGATGGAGAGATGTGCTATGACACTTTCAATGATTTTATAATGTATTGGTATCAAAGTAATAAGTGACAATTAGATTCTTTATTTAAACATTCCAACTTTTAAATGTTCTCTTTACTGCAGGCAACATTCTATCTACTTATTTTACTGAAATCCAGTCCTTTGATTTCACACTGAGTTTTCCTTTCATATGTAAAACTTCCAGTGCTTTAATTACTCATAGAAATGAGTAGACTCCCCTCAACAAAGCTACCTGCAAAGATGACCTCACCTTCAAGCAGTATAAGATGTTCACAGAGTTCATTTTATAATTGATTTCACACCAGTTATCACAATGGTAAATGAGTTTCAGGATTGCTCTCAATTTCATAAAAATCAAAAAAGGTTCTGTTAAAAAAAATGAAATAAATTGTACTAGGATTGTAAAAAATGGGATAGGAAGGATGAGTAAATTGGGAATATCACAAGGAAATGGGAAAAATAGTCATAGGAAAATTAGTATGACATTGGAGAACCAGCAAGGGAGGTTGTGGCTATTGGGTGGATTTATTTTGTGAGGAAAAGGGTAAAAAAGACAGAGGAATTGTAAGGAATGGAGGTAGAAGGAGAAGGAAGGAATGCCCCTTTGGAAGGAGAGACAGATTTTGGTAAAGCGTAGTAAATAGACATTTAACTAGCTCCACACCACTACAAAAACTAATCCATTAACAAGAGACAAAAAACATTTTACACAATTAAAAAATAGTTATATTTAAAAAAGGAAAGAAAGCATATTATTCATTTAATTTCATAGCATACTCAACACATTCAAATGAAAAAATCTTTTCCATGAACAAAACATACTGCATTCATAACACTATAAAAGCAAAGTTTCTTGTCTATATTTTCTGTGTGCCAAAAAGTCACAGAGTAATATTTAGGAAAACAGCAACTCAAACATTACCCTTCTTCACTAAATTATAAGATTGTGATGTAAAAAAAGCCCTACATGTCAGGAACTGTGTGTTGGCTAAGTTTTCATCTTAAACCTTTAGAAACACGACAGTGTAGCACAGAAGCCCAACAGTTTCAGGGTCAAATCTCATGTTATTTGTGCTCTATGTAACACCAATGTATTTGCTGTGAGTACACGCAAGCACAGAGCACGAACATACTCCAAAATGATTCTGAAAATGGACAGCACAGTTTTGTTTCTACTCTTTTTTTATATTCTTAGGACTTGTATTTCTCTGTCGTTGTGTTACAAGCCATCAGATAACTATTTAAACATCCAGTTTTCAAGGCAAATCTATGATCTTATTCAGGCCAGTGGAGCAGTCATCTGTGTAGAGAACAGTCTGGATTTTCTGAGTACTTTACTACTTTTAGCCATGCACTGAGTTCTTGTCTCTTAATCTTCAGCTCATTACTCTGAACTACTGAGGTGCACAAGAGTTATGGAGAATTTACATGTGATGAAGGTTAAAAAAAAAAATAAATTCCTTCTTGCCCTTCCATAGTGCCTAAACAAACACAAAGTTGTGGCACTTCTGTAATAATGTCATGGTTGTGTCCTGGGTTCAGCTGTCATAGTTATTTTTCTCCTTCTTAGTAGCTGGTGCAGTGCTGTGTGAGGGGGCAGTGAGCGAGCGGCTGTGTGGTTCTGAGTTTCTGGCTGGGCTTAAACCACAACAGGCTGGAACATCTCCAGTCATCATATGCACAGATTTTCAGCAATGCAGAGTGTAGGGGAGAAAAGATGATGCCTTTCCAGCCCCTGTTGTAATGCATCATACTCTTCTGTCAACAAGAGACACAACTGCACATTTAGGATCAGGGCCCCCTTCCCTCCCTCTCACCATAACACAATTTCTACCATTTCTTAAAAGTTTTTCATTTCTAAGAGGTTTTGTTTGTTTTTTTTTTTTTTTATATAGCTTGAAAATACAAAATCAATTGTATTGATTTTCGTGCTTAGTGCTCCTGAACTATATTTTTAAATGACTAATTAGAATTAGAACACTTTTACAAATTATTTTTACAGCCAAGTTAAGCAGACATTATAATGCAAACACTGACTGACTTTCAATGTAGCACAACTACTGACAGGCTAAAATAAAAATCATCAGTCTAGCAGTCATCTCAAACTGAAGAAGTAAAGTTTTACTCCTTGCCTATCATAGCATGCCTATGAACAAAACAAGCGCATGATCCTCAGTAGAATGCTAGTAACAATGTACATATTTTTGCAATGCAATTTATATTTCTTAAGTAGAAATTTGCTAATCTCGATGTGTACAATGTCAGTCTAACACACTACTGTAAGGAATATTTAAAAACTAAGAAAACATGAGCTGGACCCTCAACCCGTAAACTGTTTTATCTCATTATTCTCTAATGAAATGGGTGCTGCTACACCAATTTGGTAACAGATAATTAGTAACTTACATAAAGAAAAACATCAGAAAACTGAGAAAATTTGTTATACGAGACCTTCCATTAATTGCATTACTCTGTCTTTTGAGAGTCAGCCTTCCATTTGGAAAAGGAACTATTGATGCAGCAAGATACAAGTATTCCCTCATTTCTGGAAAACTGTCAAACCTGTGCAACAGAAGTTTCTTTGACAGAGGTCTCACCTATACCTTCCCTGATTTTTCACTGAAAAAGACCTTCCTTTGCCTTCTAATCTTCTTCGAATGGTCGGAGAATTTTTAAGACAGAGATTTCATCTCTGCTCTCAGTCTACAGACTTCCTGGTGATCCTTTTAATCTGAAAGCCCATAAGATAACATGGTTTCTGACATATCTGTCAGACTTGTTAAGTACTTTATCCCATACATTCTCCTCAAGAAACAGGTTTTGCTTTTTCATTAATTTTTAGGAGGTTGGAGCACTAGATTTCCTAGGAGATGTGTCTTGCAGCCCAAGAGAACAGGGCTACACTGGCAGCCTGAGCTGTAATCAGACTCCAGAAAGATCTAACTGTGCCTGCGGCCACACATGGTTCCTCACATGATTCCCTTGCCCTTTTGCAGCTGGAGGTTCCATGTTTGAGGTATTCAGTCCGTCTCTGGGAATAATGAGCTAATACCCCAAAGCAGCATGCTGGACTCTAGGACATTAAAATGTTTTTACATCCTGAGTGCAAGAATCTGAGACTGTCCATTTTCACATGATGTATTTATGTAAGCCAACTCTTTTACCAGCTTTTCTTCCAGAGATCTTCTAGGAATCTGATGGCTGTATTTTGTCTACCTATCTCTAGCTGCACATGGAAACAGAATCAGAAGGTCTGATTGGAAGGGACTTCTGTGGGTTGCCTGGTCTAACCTCCCACCCTGAGCAGGATCATCCCTGACCCTCCATTAGGTCAGACCAGACCAGGTACTGCAGTGGGTTCAGCCACCTCTCTGGGTAAACTGCCCCAGTGCCCTCCTAACGAAGAAGGTTTTCCTAATAGCCAGTCTGAACCTCCCAGGAGCAGCTTGTTAATACTACTGGTTCTGTGCATAAATTTTTGTGGTTTTTCATGATTTTGCTCAGCATCTACCTGTGACCTGCCTTTTGGCACACAGTAAAAACAAAGATAAGCTTTAACAGGACAATTTATAGTGTAAAGACAGCGGAGCTGACTAGGCTGAGGAATCGAGAAACAGTTAACACTGGTCACCTTTTCTCCCTTTTCTCCTATATCACCCTTTTCTCCTCGAGGACCAGGGAAACCCTATAAAAACAAAATGGACAAAGATAGGTCTACTTTTATTCACATGCAGGTTAAGCTTTCAAATACTCTTGGAAAATATAAAAAAAGATGATTTCACTACATACTGTATACATATATATGTGTTACATGTGCACACATGCACGCACACAGGAGTATGTGAGACAAGTCACAGTATTTGGTAGAGTAATTTTGTCAGCAATGGAAAGAAATGTAACTCAAAATGACATCAGTCCATGCAACATAGCATATCTACATTCTGGAAAAGACTCTTCCAAGCTAGGGCTTTCAGTGTAGGACTAGAAGAAAAGGCTTTCAGTAAGTCTTTTTAGCATGCCAAAGAAAGAACTTATGTTTTGAAATACATCCCTTACAGGTTATGGAATTATTCTCTTTAATTAGGATAAATTTACTTAACCAAATATTCTGAATATTTTCTTACCAAGTGCAGTTTTTTCAGCCTAGTGACTACCAAAGTACCACCTATTTGTGTAAGCACTGTATCTGGTGGTGTCTGTCAATTAGGGCTGTATATTGCATAATCTTTGTTTTCTCTATCATAGAGAAAGAGCAAATGCTGATTTAGCACACTCTCTCTATGTACTGCATGCACACTAGATGGAAACAAAGTTGTTACACCCAGTAAGCTATTCCTTAAAAGATGCTTACCTACCATTGTGAGCGTATTGATCATACATATTACTTACATCAATGCCAGGCTCTCCATCTTTACCCTGCCAAAGAACCATATAAACTACGTTAGTGTCCCTAAACTATGATACCAATGGCTGCCTTGATGCCTGACTTCTATGCTCTCTCTGTACAGCAGTACCCCACGATGCTAAGGCTGTTAGTGAAGGACATTTCTGCCAGTGTTTAACATTTTGAGGAACTGATAACTTGACTGTAAAATTTTGCTTGATTGTAAAAGTTTTTTCATATGCAGATTCCAGGAGCAAGCTAAAAATACAGAAAAGCCTATTATGAAATATTATGTTCAATTTTTAGTTCACAGGAAAGGGAAACAGAAACTGTATTTTTTTTTTTATTTAACTCACAAAAGTGACCCTCACATGAACATGCTCTCAAGCTAATTTAACACTCCATGCAGCCTGAAAACTATCTTTAGTCATTGACTCCTGATACAATTAAATGGATCCAATTAAACCACAAGTCTGTATTCCATCTTTAATTAATTAAACAGATTAGACTGGAGAGGGTATGGAAGCATTGCAGATCTCTTGCAAAGGCTGGTTGTGCCTGGCTAAGCACATTTACATGGCTTTTCTTGTGTCAAAGTACAGAACAGGCATGTGTATATGTACACAACTGACCCAGTCATCAGCAAAGTAAACAGTCAGCTGTTTTATTTGGGCTGTCCTTGTAGGCCAAAGGAAGCTCTCACTCATATTTTAGAAATGAATAATAATCTTTAAATGACTGATTTAAAGCATACCATCTCCACCTAAAAATGATCAACAATGAACTTCCCAAATTGCTTCTCAGCACACGGCACAGAAATGAAAACAAAACTGGTCTCTGAAGTGTCAAACAAACCAAAAGTATAACAGTGAAATAGCTTTGCAGCACAGAAATCAAAGCAGTTTATTGACATATGAAAGCTGCGGCTTTCCACGGTTCATCCTGAACTCCTGCCACTTTCACATGATCCCCAGGCAGCTGATTGCCACAGGGTGCAGAAAGAGGAGCACTTGCATTCTGGATTTCCTCTCTCTTGCTGGTTCATGTCAGATTTGTTTCATTACTTTTGCATGACCATGTGCATGGTCAGAAACCTACAGACCAGTGAGCATTATTATTAACCAGGGATTATTATTATCTATCTTTGCTTTTTCCAAATAACTGTATTGCTAGGTGAAAAGCAGTCATAAAGCACACAAAGTGTAATCAAGGAGTGATGAAAAGCACAACGTGTACAAACTATGCTCAACTCACAGGCAAGCCGTATGGTCCTCTGGGTCCAGGGTCACCTATGGTTCCCTTTTCACCCTACGAAAAGATTACGGAACAAGCAAACAAAAACATTGGCTAAATGAGATAGAAATGATCCCTACCAAGTGCTTTAGGTTAAAGTTTATACATTCCTAAATCTTTTGAGTGAAAAATAGCCAAGATAATTTACTTTTATTAAATGAATAAGGGTCAAAAGAGATGTGTATGACTTTTGAGGCAAAATTATTTTTGGGCATATGATATTATATTTGGTTTTAAATACATTTGTAACTGAAAATATTTTTTAAACTGAACTTGCACTGATTTCAATTTTAAGCTTATAACTCAATAAAAAGCCAATGTTGTAATGAAAACTGAGGACATGCAGCATCAAGGTTCACCACAGCAGCTGAGATGAAGCACAGTGACAGGCAAAAATGTGCCAATCAAATGTGTTTAAGCAGGAAGTGTTATCAACAGTGACATTGTGAAGATTATCCCATGCACTGTATTGTTTTGCTAACTGTTCTGTTGGATTCTAGATTAGTGATGTTAATACCCTGGTTTATGAAATCAAAACTGTATTAATGTGCAAGACAAGCAAGTGCAGAGATCATTCTGTACTTGAAGTTTGATCTCATTTTGCTCAAAAACCCATGGAAAAATTGCCAGTTTCCAGAGGGATGCTGCCAAAATAATTTTGCAAGCTTAATATAGAGCAAACTTTTCCAAATGAAATAAAATTTCAAGGCAACAAATTTCAGGCTGACTGTAGTAATCATCTGTGCTTTCCAATTGTTCTTCATAAAGATTGATATGGAGTTAAACTTCCTGAGTCAGCTAACATTAGCACAAGTAACTGTGAGCACAGCCTTCTGCGAGGTTGTTAGGGAGGCAGTGCTGGTAAGTATGTGTTTAAGACTGTGGTGCCACCTTCTGAATAAAGTCCAGCAAAAAGCCCTACTCTCTTGAGAGAAATAAATTCCTCCAAGTGTTGAAGAGATTAAAAAAAAAAGTCTTGACCACATCCAATTTTCAAAGCTCCTACCTTCAATTTGTTATACAGGGTTATTTGTATATTTTCTTCACCTCCTTTCCTTAACATGAGCTAATGCAAGGCTTTGTTCAAGGCTCCTAGCCTTGAGAAGAAGTGCTGTTTTTCATCCTAGCAGTCGCTGCACTTAAGTTCTTGAGATAATGTTGTGTACAAGATCCTCCAAAAATCTAGATTATTTACTAATCATTATTAATTCGTTACTCTGTTATTAAATATAAGACAGAGATATAGATGTGTGCCTAATTAACAGCAGTGATCATTGGCACAGCCAAGTCCCTTAGCACAGCTCTGAAAATGGGCTGCTAAATCGTAATTTTGTTGACTGGATGATATAAAAAAGCAGGCACTGGAATAAACTGAGCCTGAACCTGTTTTTGAATAACCACAGGAGTAAGAAGTTCGACAAAGTAACTGACATTTGATCTATTTTAGATACTTTGCATTTTTATATGGTGAACACTGTCTGTGCTCACTTTACTCTAGCGGTGATTACATGCATAATGTCTGATCTTTCTGGATTCTGATAATCTCCAGCCATTTCTGAGCAGCACTTAGGTAGGATGCCCTTGAAGAACAAGAGGAGGTACTGGGAACTGACGTCTGATTTTCAGAACAGTAAATCCCTTGCAGCTTTAAACCTTTCTTCTGAGAAGAAACTGATGTGCTGACCCATGTATGTAACGGCTACAAAAATGTTTGATCACTACTTGAGATATGTCAAGACTAGTTAAGTATCTTTATTTAAAATCTCCAACAGCAAAGATGACTGTACAGCGTTCTCTCAAGATAGGCCTATAACATTGCTAAACATATGGTAGACATAAAGATGCTGAAGGTACCAGTCTAGGAAATAATCTCATCTGTTGTGTAAGAATATATTTTGGGAAATGTATCTCCCATTTTTTTTTGCCTCCAATACAAAGCACATGCTGAAATGTGTTTGGAATATCAGATGAGGTCCTGAATGTGTATGGATTATATAAGATTGATGAACTGTCATAAGCATACTGCCCTCAGCCATCACGATAAAGCATTTACTTTAGGGAAACAGACATTTGCAAACTTCAGTAAGGTTTTTAATATCTTTTCGTATGACAATTCATCAGTGCCCAAGGAACAGAAACCATGGCCTTCAGTTTTGCCTCCTATGTCACTTCAGTCTCTTGAACCATGGGTGGATACAAACTACCATTTGCATGAATAAAGCTGCATAATTTGTGTCTCCATTAAGATTGATAGATTTTACAGCACTGTCATGGTGAAAAACATTTTAACCAAATTAAACAGAATGCACTTTCCCTACCAGTAGGGAATATGCAGAGTGATGACAGTGTTCCGAGAGCCAAAAACAAAGCTCAAAACCAGTTCCTTGCAATCAAGGCCAGGGTTTCAGGAGATCAGCATTTACTTAATTTTGTCTTTCAGCTTCTTTTAGATAGACAAGAATTTGGATAGACATTACGTCTCTCATTAGCCTTCAGGCTTACATGTCCCCTTTCCCTAGTAGTAGTTTAAGTTGCTCATCTGTTTACTAATGTTCTCAATTTTCTCTCAAGAAAATATACAAGTGAGATTAATAGGTACACAGCCAGATTCAGAGGCCTATTATGATCAACTCCTCCATTTAATGAAGATGGTCTCAGTAAAATCTGAAGAGCCAAAGAATTTAAGGACTGTAAGACATCAGCCTAATAGATGATATTAATTCAAACGGTTAATTGCCATTTCTATTTCTACCAAAAGAAATGCACAAAACCACAGTGTTGGAAAGTTCACCAATATCATGCTTAAGGAGGGAGGTGTTAAATCCTGTGTCAGCTTTTAATGATCAGTGAATAATTTAAAGTTTAGAGAGAAAATTACATGGTTAAACTCGAACAGTGAACTAATCATATTTGTTCTAAAATTCATGGTTTTCTATTTTCTAGTGACAAGCACTATTTTTCTGGTCTACTTTTTCACCATCTAAATAAGTTTTGTTCAAAGACTCAGTAATGTTTTCTATTTTAATTAAATAGCTAAACTGGAAACAAAACAACCAACCCTAATTTGCACAACAGTCTGTTCTACCTAAGAAGAGTAATTCAGCATTGCCTCATCTGCAGCCTATGTAACAATGATTTCTGTAAAAGAAATCATTAGGCTTCAGTTTGATTATACTTGCTTTCCTTTACTTTTAAGGAGGCATAAATATACAGTGACCAGTATTTTACATGTATTCTCTTAAAGTGAGATTGCCTTTCCAAACGTTAAATAATGTGGATTTAAGAATGTGGTTATGTTTCATATTAGAAATCCCTAGTGCCCTTCTAAGTTAATATTGGCCCGAGGTTTTTCTTATCAGCATGGACAAAATGTGATCCTGTCCAGTGATAGTAAGCAGTGGCTTTTAATTTTTAATTAAAAGGCAGTTTCTGAAATCTGCAGGCAAAATTTTTTTCAGTTTCACATGCAAAAGTTGCAGGTGTAAACCTGCATTAAACCCACATGATTTGTTATTTAGATAATGAGACATATATCAATGCCAGGCACCTGCTAGATAATGATTCTACAAACAACTTCTCTTCCCAAACAGTATTGAATAATTAAATGAACAATTACAGCAATAAACTTGCTAGTTGGTTGCTTGTTAAAAACCCCTTCCATCTTTCTTGTGAACTTCCTCCCATTCATTTAGCTACACAGAAAATGCTGGGTCAGCAGGATTTTTTTGCACACTTCAGTTTCCATAGTTTTGCAGATCTGACCCTCTGTGCTCTGTGCAGTTATTGAAGAAATTTACATCGCTGCAGCTCCTCTCCCCTTTGTAATTACTACTTGTCAACAGCCATGGTAGGGCTGATTCGAGATCCAGGTGTATGACTTATTATAACCTTGAATACTTTCATAAGGAAAACACAACTATAGCTCTCTTCCATACGTTAGAAGAATAGCTTATATTACAGCACATTGTTTCTGAAATAAATTTCAACTGGTAGTACGTACGCATATCCTTCAAGACAAAAGCTTATGATCCAAGGATAAAAGTACAGTATTTATATATGCTTCTCCATCAAAATTATTTCCTAAAGTTCAGATGATGTTCAACTTTATCTTCACAGAGTTGATAGAAGAAAAAGTTATGTCCTGGTTGAAAAAAAGACTTACCTAAGACCTTCAGACTGTTAACTAACCTGAGTTGTGACTATAGGCTACTGGTCCTATTTTGGACTATGTTGCATGTCTTGTATATATTTCTCAACACAGAGCTCTTTAAAAATGAATCATCAAGTCATGCATACCTTTCTCAGGTGTACTGCTATTAAAGCTAACTGAACCTGTGCCATATGGCTGCGTCCTTAATATATCAATCTGAAGTTGTTTTATCACAGCTGTTTTGTTAAGTGAGAAACTCAAAGAGACATAATTCTAGGCTGTCAACTCCTTGGAGGATTTAGTCAGTATAAGGTATCATCTTTTGTTTTGTTGTACAAGTTGATGGTTGTATTGTTAAAGATGACAGGCTCACAGCTTAAAGATTAAGGTCCTTATCCTATTACACTGATGAAAAATTACTATGAATATTTCAAGTGAAATAGGAGGGCTCCTATCTTCTAAGCCTAAGAAAGAAAGGGAGGGGAGAGGGAGAAAAGTTTAAATCATTTTTTTAAGATAAAAATATTTAAGTACAGACTGGGAAATTTTTTTTCTTTTTGCCATTTCATACGGATATAATCAGATCACACTATCTCTTGTCTCAGTTTGTCCTCTCAAACCACTTACACTACACAATGCAACCAAGCAAAATGATGTTCTGTGTACCACTGTGAACTTGAAAGTCCTGTAAGTTTCTTATGGATTAATCATTACAAAATAGCAGCTTCTCTGAAGTTCATGAGTTACAAAATCAACCTTTAAACAGATAAATGTGTGTAACTAGAATGCACATACAGTTCTGGGCTGATCCTTAAACAGAGGAGATACAGTTATATTTAACAACATCCTGGCACACTGTAAGCAGCCATATGACATTTTGCCATGGCAGCGGTTGCTTTGTAAAGAGAAGCACATAGAACAAATACTTACTCTCTCTCCTTTAGGACCTGCGGGGCCATGGGGACCAACTGGGCCATCTACACCCTACAAAAGGAAACAGAGGTTAAAAGAGAGGTCTTGTTCTTACAAGTCCATAATTTTAATAACTGTCTTCTAGCCAAGAACTAACATGGAATCAGTCTTCACCAGTAGAAAATTCAGACTGAACTTTGATGGGACATGGGCAAACAAATCCATTTGTCTTCCAAAACTCCATCTATAAGCTCTCTGGCTATAAGGTAACCCATCTTTTTTTCTAGTTGGATTTTCCTTTATTCATGGAAGTCACCAGATTTACAAAGATTTTAAATTTATTGAAAAATTTTCCCAGGAAAAATGGAAGGGCCAAAGTTATGGGTTTGCTTTGGTTTGTTTTGTTTTAATACTGATTATTTTTTAAATGAAAATGTCTAGCTGTATGGTGGACCTACCTGTTGCACTCATCAATAGGAATCTTATAGAAGCCTTCAAACATGTAACTCCATCCCTCTTTCACTTTATCCATTTCTTTATCATTATTAAAAGCAAATGACTTTATGTTTAATGAGAAAATGCCTGTGGCAGAACCCCAGCCACAGAATGTCTGCATCTGTTTCGCTGATTCCATATTAGCATTGAACAAGTATGTTTTCCTGTGTAAACTGATCCCTAACCTTACTCAGCAAAATAAGCACCCCAACCAAGGCGGCTGTCCAACCAAAAATCAAAACCAAACTGCCTTTTTAAGATTCAGAACTCCTTCTACAGAGGGTTACATTCTCCTTCTCACTTGTATCACTCCAAGAGTTTGCTCAAAGTCCCCTCTTATGCACCATGAAAAATGCCTGCGGCATTTGGCCTTCCTTCCTCTTTGCAGTGTGTGAAGCGCTGGACAGAACATAGGCTCTGTAATGAAGAGCGACACAGAAAGACAAGGGACTCACCCGGGGTCCTGGCTTTCCGTCTAAGCCAGATGCTCCCTGTGTAGTTAGGTGGAAGCATGGATGATGGATACAACACGAATGACAAGAACGTGAGATTAGTAAGTGGTGCTGATGAATAAACATAATTCAAACGTACAGTACAAGTTGTGACAGGGTTTTGAAATGGGTATCACATTACTACAGCATGTTAGTTAAAAATTCACATAAGACATCAAGAGCCTGATTCTATTCTCACATCAGCGTAACATCTCTGACCCACCCTTGCCGTCATGTCACAGTACATTAGACCAGAATAATGTCAAGCTATAGGAGTGCTACAAACACCAGATGTTAGGGTGTTTCTGAGCCTTAACCTGCAAATATTTACCTTGTACTTTACTTGCATGCTTTCTAATTTGTAAATAACGACAAAATTGAATACTATACTACACAAAGAAAGAAAAATATATGCTAACCGTGATAGGCAATATTTAAGTGCAAGAATATTGCATTATGCAGCAAAAAAAAAAAAAAATCTGGATCCTGATTACAATGGCCTCATTCATTTCCAAGATCCCGTGAGACAATCACATTTCCTGTTTTCCCAATGTGCTCCCAGCTCAGAGCACACGCAGAGGCTGCAAGTGGGCAGCACCAGGCACTTCGGGCTATTTGCTTCAGCATCCTTGGGGACGGGATGACCTCTGCTGGATTTTATGCGAATAACAGAAGAGCAGCGAAGGATCTGCTCGACCATCCCAGCCTGCTGGCAGTAATGCTGGGACTAGAAGGACCGAAACTATTTGGGACATTAGAAATAATCTGGGCCCAAAAACTCCAACCCCTAAGCCCCCCCAAATCTCCAAAGTTAAAAAGAAACCAACTGCCACCCCAACTCATTAGCAGATAAAATGAGCCGGTTTTAGGAAGTCAAACACTTTGCTCTCTAAAATGATGATTAGAAAAAGTGGTAAGCAGGAGCAAGACAAGAATATGAAAATTTGAAAAAATAATAGAATAGTTTGCTCTGGGTTAGAAAACACATTTCTGGCAGAACTGAAACTTCCTTCTTCCTTTTAGTTATTTTCAGGGGGTTGTCTCAGACCTGCACAGCTGCCTCTCTACATAACGGTAACTGGTAACTGGTAAATGATTTTCTTCCCCCCCCCAATTAAAATTCTCAGTGAAGCTGACCTTGACCAGGGACTCTGTACATAATTCTTGAAAATATTAATCAGAGGGGTTTGCATTCCTTTGGGTCAACTAAGTCTTTTTCCTCCGCTTTGTTATTAAGAATGTAATCGCACAGAGTAATCCTAAAAGGAAAACTGAACTCTTTCTGTGGGGAAAAAAACCCAACAACTAACTTTCCAGAGTGCTTTCAAACACACAAACTCTTTTCTCTTTTGTCAACCTAAGTTTTAAGAATCATAATGTGAACATGAAACATGAAAATTTATTTTTAAGGTCCTTCATTTCTTTGTAATACAAAATTTATGCCAAACACTCAGAATGGAAATTTTCTAAAGAACAATGCAAGAGTAACAATCCACCATCTCTAGTGAATGAGGAAAGTAAATAAACAGAAAATCCCTGAACCAATTTTTAACTTTCCTCAGTTAGACTTCTCCATTTTAACTGCAGAAGTACAATCAGTGGATGAATAACTGGAGAGATGGGGTAAAAGGGAAGATTCCTTTTTTTAACACAAACACCATACAACACTCAAATAACAACATGGCTGATGTAGTGGTGGTGATAGCATCCCTGTGACACTGAACACATTCAACGGACACATAACAAAAAAACCCTGACAGCACTGGGTGTTACAGGACATTACTATGGACGATAGCACACATCTGGGCTAAAACAAAACAAGACACGCTCTGCTCAAACATGGTATATTCTGTATATACTGTGGAGTAAATCAGAGTTTTTCATCAGGAGTAGAAAGAGAAGTTTGTTATTTGCACTGAGATTGAGTAGTTGGGGATTTTTACTTACTGGAAGACCAAGGGGCCCTCTGTCACCCTTTTGACCTGGTTCACCCTTCAATCCTTTAAGACCATTTAACCCTGGTTCACCCTAAACGTAAAAGTATAAATGCCATATTTTTGGTGCTATAATGGGTGCTTAAGCTTGGATAAAAGAAGCCAGTCTCAGAAAAGGTTGCATATTCCAGTTTGAAACAAGGACACAAATTCAGCCTTCTCAGCTTACTGTCAATTTACATACTGATACAATACTGAGCAAAAGCACTTGGGAGGCATCTGCTGGAGATTAAAAATCTGCATGAAAAAAAGCTACAGGAAATTTATGAGTAACTGATTCTTTTGATTTTTTTTTTTCCCCAATAATTATCACTACAGTTAGATGGTTTGATTTAAGTGTGAGTTTTAGGGGTTTTTGGAATTTCCTCAAATTCCAATGCAGACAAATCAAACTGAAAGAAAACTTTCAGAAAATTATGTCTCAAACCTGCAGGTTTCTATAGCGGGATCTCCTGAAAAGTAGATTTTGTAAGGAAGCAATATTTTTTTCATACAGCAAACTGGAATTTGCAACAAAATCTTACATAAAGTTATTTTAAACCTTTAAGCACAAATAATTAAACAGTAACAAGTTTAAATAATCAGTATAGGTTATACAATGCCAAGCTATCCAGGAGATCCATAGTTTCTGTGTTCATACAGAGAAGTTTAAAAACACATAAAATATGGCACTTGTTGTGATTGTTAGACTTTGCATAGCCTGTTACATTAAACATCACTAAGAGGATAATGGTGGGCCTGGAGCTGCCAGTAAATTATTCTTGCATCATGAAACACTATGCTAGCATGAGAGCTGCCCGGTCAAAAAGAATACTGACCACATGTGCTTCTTTTGGGGAACAGAAATATGTGGGTATTTCATCCAGACTGCTCCCCATGGCCTTGTTCCCACATTTCCCTTTGATGTATTATGTTACCTTATATCATATTCATATTAAAAAGAAAAAAAAGAAATCTCAGTAGAATCAAGTCTGCTGCTTTAAGTAACTCCAGATATTGCCTGCCTGCTTTGCACCCTGCCTAAGTAGCCATTTCTGCTTTTTTCTATTCAACACAATGTGACTTTTAGAGCAGTAGCACTGAAAATGCTGAAGTTTTGGAAACAGACCTGGAAATCTCACAAAAGCCTGAGTCTTAGGCCAAAAGTCTGAGGTAAGGCAGGGCTGGTGCTAAGACGGAACAGACCTGATGTCAAAAAATGATTCATGACTCAGGCTTCTTACGCCAAGGTAACACAAACAGTCTCATGTGGAGTCAAACCTGTGAGTTTCTGTCTTGCACTTGAAAAACCCAAACAAAATCCAAATCCTAAACCAAAAACACCCTCCTCCTCTTACTTACTTTTTTGAGAAAGATGCATTTGATAAAGGAGCCACAGCGAATTAAAACGATCATGCCTGAGAACACCACTGCCCCTAGGTGAATGCTAGGCTATAGTATCACACTGGATTTTAGTTTTCTTGTGCTTACGGAATTACAGTACAAATTAAAATATTCCAACTTTGCCAAAACCTGCTACCCTCCTGATCTGTTTTCATGGGCTTAGAGTCCCTACAGTGTATCTCCAGGTAGTGTACTGTGGAAAAAGTTTGAATTGCATTGCAGACCTGCCTGATCAGGGATTCTAGGTTGGAAAACATGAAAATACACACATGAGTTTGCGTAATGTGTGAAGGAACTGGTCAGCAAGTACATGGCCCCTAGGAAGGTGAAAGGCCACTCATACTGAAAGAAGCAGGAGATGCGAAAGAATATAAATAATGAAGAGCTTATCTGACTCCATTTCCTGAGTGTGCAACATACTCCTATGTTCAAAAGTAATTCCAGTTGCAAACGCAATGGTAGCTTGCCCATAAATAGGATTACATTAACTTAGTGCCACATTTCAAATACTAATGCAAAAAATGGCCACTGCCTAGGAGAATTACTATACAGAAACAATCATGGAAAATTTTAAAAGCTTTTAAGCTCTCTTAATATTAAAATCTGCTTTAAGGTTTAAGAATATCAGGAACATTTATTAAATGAGACATAAGACAAAACATAGCTGCATGAGTTAAAGAACAAAACATGACACTTTGCAGACATTAAGAACATGGCTATTCAAGGCATCCATTGATTTACCTTTGGGCCAGGCAGTCCATGAGGTCCCTGGAAATAAAGATATTTATTTCATTATGAAAATATGCCACAAATTTTTAAGAGTTTGTTGCTTTACAGGGGTGCAAGCTGCACCTGTATTTTTGTCCTCACAAATGAAATGCAGCTGTCAATAAAGCAACTGCAAACATGTGATTCATAGAATGCACAAGACCACTAGTGTATTAACACTAACATAGGCAGCTGCAGTTTGTTTCTCTAGTTCCTATGAATTTTAAGACATGCAGAAAAGGTCCTAAGTTAGGTCCTTCTGTAGTGGTCACAAACTCTCCTAGCACTTTACTAATCAAGTATTAAAAGGACAAGAGAGCTCTTCCTCTCAAGCTTACCATGGGGCCTGGAGGACCATGTGGCCCTGGTGGTCCCGGTGGTCCTATCATCTACAGATAAAAAACAATGGCATTAGATCATGCAAAGTAAAGACCTCCCTCACAAATACCAAAAATCAGACTGACACTTCCTCGGTTGGCACGCTCTTACAAACATAACAATGCAATGGTGCACATTGACAGCATATCTAGAAAGGGGGTTAGAAATGGGAATTATTTTGATTCAGAAGACAGGATATCTGAAGTGCAGAATTACCTGTGGTATTTGGCAGCATGCCTGTCTCCTGATTCTTACTCCTAGGCTCTAAGATACACTTTAAGACACAATGGGTTAAAAAACCCTCACTAAAACAAACAGTAGTGAGCAGGGGTGCTTAAACTTTTAATATTTTATAGTATGTGCTATTGAGTTGTCTTTGTACAGAAACAGAAGATGATGTGTGATTTTATTCCTCCCCAGTACTGATGAATGGAAAAGATACTAAATTCAAGCCAGGGTTTTGTACATTTAAAAAAAAAAATTCCCTTTGTCTCTCATTTTATTTCATTTAGTCCACTTGTACCAAGAATTCCCTGAAGTCATTAAAATAGGTAGTCAGATTGCTCAGCATTTAGTGCATGCATATTCTGTGCTGGTTTTCTGTGTTTGTAACAAATCCATGGAAGACAATTCTATGATGATATATAGTTTGATATTACCTCTCTTCCTGGGTTTAATCCTGCAGGGCTGTTATTGTAACCTGCAACATGCAGCAGGGATGCTGATGTCTCCAGACTTATGCGCAACCCCTCTGCTACACTAGCTGTTGGTGATGGCCATAGAGGCAAAAAAGTGATCTTTGAAACCTAAGACAGATATTTCACCATCTGTGAAAACTCCTGAAAACTGAAAACCTTGTTTCAACTAAAAACTGAAAAAATCTGGAAAAAATTAATTTTAGTTTCAGAGAAAGAGACTCGGAGATACTGGGTGCCTAGTATTTCCTGCGATGGCAAAGCTTAGCCTCCCCAGAGCTATGGCTCAAATATACAAAGCATGGCACCACTGACAGGGCAGTGGTAGCTAACTTCTGCTCTGAGGTTTCCTGGCTTGCTGTGCTCTCATAATATTAATCACCCATATCATAAAGGTATTGTCTAGGGAGTTTTTTTAGGTGTTTGTTTGTTTGCTTTTCTAATGCTTTTACAGTGCTTTGAAAAATCAGGAGAATGTCTGGTCTTATAAAACCAGTCTCTGCCACTGTTACTGACATCATTGAAATTGGTCTAGTCTGGTTCTCAGTGGACTTTATGAGGACCCCAGAATACAAGGTGTTGAGAGAAATCTGGTGCTTTGGGGTTTTTTCATCAGTTTTATCTCTCTATTTTACTTTGCAAAGCATTTATCTTTTGATTCATTACAGAGCCAGAAGGCTTTTACTGAAGTGATCAGGACTGCTGTTCATAATGGGAGAATAGAACAGAACAGGATTATGTCTTTAGAATTTCTTAAATGGTATTTAGCTCTATGACCAGAAGTCTGTTAATTTTCAAAAGAGCAAATAATTATTCAAAGAAGAAAAATATTTTTAAATTTTAAGTGTAGGTACCATCAAGGATGTCAGGAAAAATCAGTCATGAAAATGAAGCATTGTTCAGAGTCAAAAGCTGGAAAGCCATTGCTGGATTATTATGTTCACTGAACACCACACTAAGACTTACAGAAGGACCCTGGGCACCAGGCAAACCAACATCTCCTTTTTCGCCCTTCATACCATTGGCTCCCTACAAAATCATTACAAAACAGCATTTATAAGCAGTTTTAATCTTATTAGCAATCAAACTAGAAATTATAATATTTATTTGCAAATAATTGTAATTTGTAAAAAGAATAATACAGCACACATAATGAAATTACATTTAAAAAAACTTTGGTGTTACTTCATTAATAACTTAATAAATGTAAAAGTATGCTTTATATTGTCAGTTGGGGCATTATGTTTATGATAAGTCCTTAAGCTGGCACTCCATTCATGATATATTTTACTATGGATACATTTTCGTAATTGTTACTATTTTTTACTGAGAAACTTAATTTGTACATAAATATATGTATAGGAATAGGAAGAATGCATCCCATACATACTGATGCTTTTTCTCTCCCTTTTCAACCTGAATAATTTGAAATTTCTGACAAGTGCTCAAAACATAGCTTCTTTCTCCTACAAGCTATGCTTGCCCAAATTGTGCTATATGCTATAAGAGAGGTACAGATCTGATCAGCATGCCAACTAATCTCTCTTTTCCCAGAGCAATATTTTGTTTGACTCTAAGTGGAATGGAAAGTTCTGGCAATTTACACCTTCTCCTAGATTAGCTGCAGAGCAACCTCAGAATTTTCCTCCGCAGTGCTTTCTGTGCCGTATGCAATTTATCAGCACTGTTGGAAATTCCTGATAATGGAAGAGAGAAAAAATACAAGTATTTTAGGTAAAATTAATTAATTTTTCATACTCACTGGCAGGCCAGGCAGTCCAATTCCTCCCTTTTCTCCAGATATTCCAGGATCACCTGTATCGCCTTTTGAGCCTTTAGGACCCTAAAATATATATTTATTGAGCAAGTAATACGTGAAAAAACTGAGACATCAACAGAATTCTAGCTTTGATCCTAATAAAAAGAATAAGTCATTCTGTGAATTGACCTTTGTTATCAATATGTAGCGATGCAGCCATTATTAGACTGCAGAGTATGCAGCAACATAATAATGACCTTTATTAATTACTATAATTATATTACTATTTAGATTATGAAATCTAAGATACAATTTGGGACCACAGAAATAAGATTCTGAAATAACCTACGTTGCTGACATGACCTTTGCTATATGATTTGCACATAACGTACTTGCTCGCCATCAACTCCTGGAGCTCCTGGGGATCCTGGTTCACCCTGCAAAAGACAAGATAGAATTGGATTATTCCAATTGTCCCAGACATTAGAGGAAAAGAGGGAGGGAAATTGCTTAATTAAGAACAACAACAAACCCCGAGAATATTCTGTCAAAAAAGAACAGAATGTATATATATATTATACATTATATATACATAATGCAACATATTGAATAAATAGCCCCGACTATTAGGCCATGGTGCAAACTTTGGGCTGTACAGAGGTCAGACAAGTGCATAAAAGAAAGGAAAAAGAAGAAACCCCAGAAGCTCTGTGAAAAAAACCCTCAATCCGATGGAAACTTTGTTAGTTACTGGAATAAATACAGAATCATGCCTCTTGAAATATGTAGGATAGATGGAGACTTCATGTTCTCTTTCCTGGGCTAATATAGACCATCCAGTGAAGGAATTCACATTCACAACATTGCCCTGTGACAGGTTCCTGGATAGAATTGTCCAAGGAAACAAGTTACATTGATGGCTAGAGACTACAACAGTGGAAACAAACTCCTGGAAAGGTTGGATTCCCCTTCATTAATTTTGAATGAGAATGCTCAGGCATATGAAAGAACACAACTGCTTCCACACTCCAGCTCCTCTGTGTTTTACAACATACTGCAGGCTGCAGAAATGCTGGGGTAGATCCTAATGCAGAAAGCCATTTCTGCATACTTAACTGTGTATTCCATTACTGGTTTTCATGTAGAAGAATAAACCTAGTTTGTCACAATTTCTCAAAACAATTAGCAGTATAATGTGATGTATTTCCATATGATACCGTGGATGAAGCTTAAAATTGAAATGTCTGGTATTGTTATTGAAGAAACATGTATTTACTCTTGGAAAAGTTTAGAGTCACTGACAGAAGATAAGCTACATTTAGTACTTATGAAGTGGGAGAGTTATATTAACTAGTCTAAGGAGGGTCCACTAACTGCAAGACTTTTTTATTATTATTATAGGCAAATTTATTATTTAAATTTTATAGAACAGTGCGGCATATGGTATTCATCGTCTCTGTGTGGGCTGCTCAGTAACACTTCTGGTACTACGCATAGCACCAGCCAGGTAGGATTAGCAAGCCTGGGTTTGCAGCCAGGCTCCTGCCCATATGTGCACGTTTTCATTTTTCCTGACATTAGAAAATACCATGTTTATTTGGGTGGGCACCACTGTAATATAAAAGCTGCATTCACATGCACTCATACTGTGGCCAGTGATGCCTGCCACACAGTTTTGCCTACCTCACTCTCACCCAGCCAGACACAGTGCCTGAGCCACTGTCTGATTGGGCAGCTACTTTGCAAAGTCCTAGGTAACAGCCTAAGTACACAGCCATTGGGGAGATGTCGCTGCCCTGTTTAATACTCATTAATTTTGCTGGTTCTCAGCTGTGTGTGGAAACTGAACAAAGCACCTACTCTGAAAGCTACATTTCAAAAGGCTAGGACACAAAGTGTGAAATGTACCATATTCGGTAAAATTACAGTTAAGTATTCTGTACAGGAAAGCTCTGTGGACTTGTGTGCCCATATCAGTAAACCCCCCCCCCCCCTTCCCCCCAAAATACATCCATCTTTAAGATAAAATGGGTAAAATAAGGAAGATCACCTTTGGCCCTTGTAGCCCTTGGGGTCCTGGTGGTCCTGGTGGCCCCTAAACAGAAGATACAAATGTCTAAGTTTCTAAATAAATACCTGCAGGACTTGCCATGTAAACACTGGCTGAATGTTAATATAGGTACCATAACAAAATGGGTTAGATTTTTAATACAAGGGTAACCAAGACTAGTTATGGACAAGATGTTAATCTTGACGACTCTCAACAATCAGAAGGGTACCACAGAAACAATGTTAAAATAACAGTACAGCTCATATTTTATAATAAAGTCCTGCAGCTCCCATTGATAAAATGGCAAAGCTTGTCTTAATGGCAGGGAGACCAAAAGACCATATTTGCCAGCCCTCACAGCCTGATCCAAACCAATCACAGGTCACGAGAAACCTCCAGCTGATTGCAAAGAGGATTCCACTAAAAGGTGCTAAGTGCATTTAGGGATAACCAATGCTTCGTGAAATCCCCATGGAATGTTATCACTACTTTTTTCATTTCTACCTCCGGCTGTAGACAGTGGCAGAAATTGGGTGAGGTAAAAGCACTGGGGTGTTCAGAAATGCCTACATTTTGGGAACAGGTGCTGGAAAATTTATCTTAGAAATAGAGATCTGATAAGACAGGACAAGGGAACTCCTCATACTTGGGCACCATTTTTTTTTTTTTTTTCAGAAAATAAATGATTTGCATCTAACATGAAAAATCCCGAAGTTTCTTTGACGGGAATTTGAAAGAACTGATTTTCTACCCTGAAAATAAGGTTGATAATAGAAAATTGTTTAGTACTCAAATCCTGCTACATGTTTTCACTCAACGCCCACGTAGACACGCAGAGATGGGAACATAAACCAAAAATTCCAAAGCAGCTATATGCCTGGATGTGTACCTAAAGAAATAATGGAGTTCTGTATTCTCCTAATCTCTTACTTAAATGAACTGAAGCTTTGCCATTAATTCAGCAGGAGCAGAACTGGTTCCATTGTTGAATGGCTTTCAACAATGAGTTCCCTGTTATGGACACACCAAGAAAATAAACAAATAAATAAATGTGATGATGAACCAGACTGACATCCAATGAAGGCATGTCCTGAACTGGTAGAAATATGAACGTGCAGTTACACAAAGGAAAATTTCTACAACACACAGTAAGCAATGCAATAGGAATTACCGTGACGGTCAGGGTGGCGATCCTCTGTTGGCAAAATGTATTAATAAAAGACACCATTACCAGAACTGAACAATGATATAAATTATTCTGCTTGCTACAATTATCATCTCCACAAAACCTATGCTGCATCTAGGAGACACCATGCCTCAAAAAAATTAGAGTAAAAAACATAATATTTTTAACTCTCACTGTTTTACTAGCTGATTGGCTTATATGGGAAACAGGATATTACACAGGTGAGGACTGCACCTTATTGCACAATTTAAGAGATTAAATAAATGATGACTAAATAACAAAATCACAGAAAAAATATTTCAAAAGTTTTTTTTAAAACATTTTAGGAAAACCTGATGAGTTGGTGCCTTAAGTTGATTAAAGGACTAGCCCTATGTTTCACAGGCTTTGCAGCAATGTTTAATTAATAAATGCAATTCCTAGAGGTGACATAAAATTGATTTTCATATAGAAATGCAGATATGCAAAAATATTAAGTTCTGAATCCTAAACTGCTGGCCCACAAACCCAGCTATATGTACTACAATTCTGCTTTAAATGCTTGGAAAGACAAAATACATTTTCATCATGGAAGGAGGTAAAATATCTCAGACTTGCACGTGGTTTTTTTGCCAAAGAATATTCTAAAAGCAAGTGAAGAAGTGTTTAAAAGTCATTAAAATGCTTGTCTATATTTTTAAACAGAGTAAAGCCCCCAGATACTGCTGCTTGCACATGCTTTCCTATTGTCTGTGAAGAACCTACTGGCCTACATGGAAGAGGAAATATTTAGCTTTACTAATTGCTTTCCTATGTGCAAACAAACGTTTGTAAATCTTCCATTTTAAGCTTTGAAACAATCTTCATATGCCAGGGCGGCAATACATACTATGGTCAAGAATCCGGAACCTGCTCACTAAAAAGTACTTCAAAAAGATGAAATCTCTAACACATGCTTTAATGTATTGATGCCCCTTTGCCCTTTATATTTTAACATATTAATAGAAATAAATCAGTAACTTTAAATATACTGAGAAATTCAGTTTATCTAGACATGAAAACCTAAAACAACAATTCCAAATGAGTGTTTGCATTTCACAGTAGTGGGTTCATTTTCAGCAGCTTATTCAGCTCTGAATATCTGAGCCTATAATTCCTACAAAATTTAACTTTTGTAGCTACTGCCTTTTGCGTTAGGAAATTCTGCAGAACAGGTCTGGAGAGACACAAATTTTGTATCTGGCCCTCACAGTGAAAGCCACGTGTGCTCAGCAGGGGTCTTGTTTGAGCAATGATGATAATTTTACAATTGAAATTTTCACTGTTGATGGACTCATGAGATTGAGTAGGAGGCACAGGGAAAAGCAACTAAATTGTTCTGAAGCTTCTAGGCTACTTGGTGATTTATTACTAAATTCTAAAAAATCCCAGACAGGCAGCCCAGATCTTGCAAACTTCTTAAATCAGCAGGCCAAATTCTGTGCAAGTTCACAGCTCAGTGCTCGGCACTGAAAGTTCTCATTTGCTCCTATGGGAGAGAGAGCTGCAAATCTCAGACCCCCTAAGAATTTGGCACCAGGAGACTTAGGAATGGGTGCTTGCCATCTGAAAGGACTGAGCTGGACTTGGCAAGGATATTTTCAACTGATCCTATATAATCTTACTTACACCAGCCATGCACAGCCATTCCCATTAATATCAATTTTTTTGTTGCCCTGGATCAGAAGGTGATGACATCTGAAATGATTTACAATGGGATAAGGGCCTCCTAATATATTTCAACCACTGCAATAGGCTTTAGTCCCTTTTTAAGACTTCCTTATGTGCTGCAGGTTTTCTAAGGAACCTTGAAAGTAACATTGATGCCAGAGTTAAGATACAGAGACAGAATAAAGGACATAGAGGGGTTAAAGCCACTGGTAAATCTGTGTCTGGTAATGTGCAACATTAATTTCAAGCTGCTTTAGGCATCTAACTCGGAGAGTCATTTAAAAGACTGCAAGTTGTGTGTATGAATTCTCTTAAAAGTAAACCAAATGAGACAGATATAATGCAGAGCCTCACAACATGCCTATGCAGACTTCCCTATAGACACCACTCACAATGAAAGATCTGACTTATCCTTAATGACATACAGGCTTTTAGATTTTAGTAAAGGCAGTGAAGGGGTTTTTTTATATTTCAAAAGAGTCTTGAAAACCAAACGACTGGCCAGACATCTATCCACTTCCACTAAGTAACTGCAAGGAAAAAAGTTCAGTGAGAAAATGATCAGATGCACAATGAGCCAAATTCAGTCTTGAGTTGCACATAAGCAAACCATTCACTTTGGCGGAGTTATACTGCACAGAATTTGCATCTGAGTGTACTGCAATGTAAATCACTTTGACTGCAATGACATATGTCACCTTGGAACTTTGCTTTTACCCAAACACTCATTCATTCTTTTTGTAACCCTGCTTTAATCCTCCACACTTCTTTGCACACCAGTCAAAATAAGTTTTCTGAAAATGAATAAGTGGGAAGACTGGTCCTTGGCCTATTTAACATACTCAAGTTGCTGATTGAATCCCCAGCTTGCTAATGGAACCGTGTTTCCAAATCTCAAATATTCTGCTCTTTGCATTTTATAAGAAGAGGAGGAAGAAAAGGAGGGAAAAAAAAGAAATGTCAATATTATACTACATGAACTGAAAAGCAGACACTTCTGTTGACCCTGTGTATATGGTTTATTGTGTGAATTCAGCCCTAAGTGCCACAGCCAGCAATGAATCACCTTTATCCTCATTAGATGATGTCAATACTCTCCAGGGGAAATGAAACTAATCCATTCAGCTAATTCATATCAAGGAAATAGTTTGTCTAACACCAAACAGAAAACCTGGTTTCCAAATATAGAAAGAGATTCTTGGTTAATAAACCCAGCAAATCTTTGCACACAAAATGTTTTCAAGGTCTACGCAAAAGAGAAATATAATGCTGTCAAACTGTTTTTTCCCAGACCAGACTAAACCACTCCAGCCTTGTTATGTTTGCATACCTGCAGTGCTTCATGGATATTGCCATTATAATCAATTATCTCTGTTGCACCTTGATCGCCCTTCTGTCCAGGTGGTCCCTGTAATACATTTTCCATGAAAGTTTTGAGACACCTACCTAAGACTATTCTAGACGCTTAACTACTGACACATGCTTTGACTTGATTGTGCAGTGTTGGAATCTTGTTGTACTTAAAATATATTACTACTAACCACAAAAGTAAGCATTAAACTGAAGAATGTTCTCAAAGAAAGCAATTACTAAAAAATACAAGAAAGATAAATATAAATATAAACAAACAGGTCAGTACTCAGTGACTTGTTCTGCTGGGAAAGCAAATATATGAAACCTCTGAGGTCAAATATTTAAGCAGTTCCTATATTCTAGTTCTGTACTGGCTGTGAACAAAGTCAGAACATCTGGCATGTAACATCCTGGCCATGAACTATGAATAGGAGACTGCTTCAAATAGTAGGAAGGGCTGTTATTCATATTAAAGGCCAGTTAGCATCACACATTTCATCAAAGTCAAGTGCCCAAGTTCACTGGTTCAGCTGGAGTTACTGCTACAGTTTCAATTCATAAGATGGACTGAATCTAAGAGTACAAAACATCTGAAATGAGAAGTAGACTTACCCGTGGACCTGTAGATCCTGTGTCACCTCTGTCACCTGTATCACCCTATGTAAAAATTATATTTGAAGACAGGAATGCCATTTGACAATATATTATGTAGTTCTCCCGTTTTAAATATAGTTACCTTAAATAACACAGGTTAAAAGGCCTCTCAACAGAAACAAAATGTGGATCTTGATTTATCAAAGGAATAAATACTTCAAAATCTGTGTAGTGGCATTTATTTCTGTGTGAATTGTTAGAGTGCTGTATTGATTTGAAATAAGAAATCCCAGTGAACCAATAAAAGACAGATTACCAATTAAATAACTTGTATAACTTCCCTATTCTTAATAGTGCTGTTATAAAAAGCTTTAAAATAGAGAAATGAAATCACTCAATCTGAAAACACTCAATGACTTCTTCAAAGGTGTGTTTCAAAGTGTAAAAACTTTTCTTTCTGCAATCGTGACTCCACTAACTTTCTGAACTTCCCTTCTGTGAGCCATTGCCTCCCCTACACTTACAACATTATTGTCAGAATTAGAGTTCCTTTACTCCCTTACTGTGACAGGCTTAAGATCTTTACCATCTTGCGCAGAGCTTTTTTTTTTTCCCAGCTATTAGAAATGTTTGAAGCATTAGAGGGAATTTCAGACATGTATGCATTCATAACCCAGTGGCCAGTGACTATGATTCATTTCATTTCACAGTCACTTTCATAGCAAGGTCTTACATTTTTATATTACTCAAAATTAATATGAATAAGAACTGCAACTTTTGCTTCTGTTGAAATCTATAAAATTTTAGTATAAGTCAGGGAAGAATGATTAATTCTGATTAATGATTAGGGGAAGAATGATTAATTTCTGCAACAGAAAATAGAAAACTTTCACGGGGCTAACCAAGGAATATGGAGAGCAGGCTGCTGGCAGGACATGATCAAGGTTGTGCCATCTGCTTTCCTTTCAGTGTTGCCTTGGCAGTAGCTAGGGAATGTACCATTAGAATTATTAAAAAAAATGAGTTCCCAACCACTAGCTTGACTTCTGTGGGTCAGATTTTCAAGACATGCAGGTAAAATGAAAATTGTATTTCATTTTTTGGTATAAAAGGGATTAAAGAGGGTATATTTATCTTTTTGGTGCATTTGGTGCCCAGGTACCATAGGCAAATAAGAGGCTTTTCTACTCTCACTCTGATGCTTTAATCCCCTCATCAGCTCCATAATTTTCCGGTGTTTATTTCTGATAAGAATGAATGAGGTTAAGTGGCACTTATTTAATCATATCCTTAAGCACTGTCAATGGACTGCTCTTCAAGGACCTTACAAGTACTGCAAACAGTATCCTATCAGCCTACATTATCTTGTCATCTTTATTATGACACAGACTCAACAACTGCCTAATCAAATCTGTTTTCATTTTGCTTTGATTCCATATTATAACATGAAAGAGACTATTGAGCACGGTATTTGCACAGTGGATGAAGTAATAGAAAAGCATATATCTTATTTCTCTACATATATGTGAACCAACTGTATCTATATAGAGGCAGATGCATGGATAGATATATATAATCAAATTATTTTTCTTTAAAGCAGATAAACCAGTAATGTAGCCTACAAGTCTTGCCTATGTAGACTTCTGGCCATTATATCTCAGTACATGGAATACCACTGATTCCTAACTCATCAAAGGGTGGATCCACAAAATTATTATGAAAAACAATTAAATCCCCACTGGCATAGTCAGGTGTTGGCCCCTGGCATGTGGGAGGACTGACCCACATTAGTTATACAGAGAGAAACCAAGTTGCATGATAAAAACCAGAGCAGGGTGGAACAGATGTTATAACAGAAAAAGAACTAGAATTACAGTGTTTAAAATACACAGGTTTTAACACTAATAGCTACAGCTAAAAGAAGGTTTGACTTATAAAGAACATTGTAGACTGTTATGGGTTCTTTTAGAGAGATAAGTTTCTGTGAAATATTACAAATTTATCCTGAAAATCATTATGTTAATTGCTCAACTAAATACAGTTTCTTTACTACTAACCTTTGACCCTTTTGGGCCTCTAGATCCAGGTTCACCTGTTTTTCCCTGTTCGTAGGAAGACAGACAAGGAGAAAAGTTGATACAGAAATGGAAATGAAGAGAAAAAGAAATTAGCAATAACTAACTACAGTATGAACAAGCAGAAATACTTCATTTTATATGACCAAGGTAATGAATCTGTAAAGGCACTGAATTTAATAGCACCCAGAGTAACATATTCTTTAACACCAGCATTCAAAAGCCACAGATTCCATTCTCCCAGTGGAAAAGCAGTATTGGCATTAGTAGAGTAGGCATCGTTAACAGTGGCTTGCAGGAATTACCGATGTTATTCCATAACTCCTGAAAAATTATAGCTAAAAGATAGTGAACATAAATATCCTAAAATAAGGAAACAAAGTGTTACCACAACTCCTTTTCCCAACAGTTCAGGTCAATACAAAATAGCTAAACTGTGCCAAGGAGCACGGAATCTGCCTTATTATTTTCAAGATGTGATAGGAAAGGGATGGTACTGACACAGTGGAAAATAAGAAAATACTAAAATGTAGTTAGAATGATATCTTTCTTACAGAGTTAGAAGACAGCATGCAAAATGGATTTTCTCTGCATTCAGTAGCTGCATAATAGGTATGCTGGTCAAAGAGTTCAAACTTCAGTGCTGAAAGTTAGGGACCTGGAGGTCAGGGCTTTAGTTGGAATGAATTAGACCAACTCCATGACAGTGTATGTAGGTAGTGCCTTTACTTTGTAGACCAGATAAGAGTTCATTCAGACTGCAGCTCCACAGCTGTGAACACAAAACTGCCGTTGTCTTCGGGACTGGAGCATTTGACAGCATTTTCATTTAAGAGCTCACTCACCAAGCTTTTGCTCTATTTTTCAGCAGGAAAAGATGTGTTCATAGGTGTTAAACTAACAAAACATTTCCAAAGTGAAATCAGACTGACCTTTGGTCCAGGAACTCCAGGTTCACCTCGCTCACCCTTCCCAACAGGACCAGCCTCTCCTCTGTCACCCTATTGCAACAGATATACATATATCACAGGATACCAGGCAGTCTTCAGGACACCACCATCTCAGTACAAACCAAGGAAACCAAACCATCAGAAGAAAAGTATTTCAAGGTGATCTGTGACTTGTAGTGGGTTGGGGAACACTCTGCTGAGTAAATACAGTCTTCTTGAGGGTAAAAGAAGGCAGCTTCAAAATGGAAATGCTTGGTTGTTTTTTTTTTTCCCTATTCTGAAAGGACTGGAATAAAGATTTCCAAATGGTGAGACCATTTGTAGGATTCATAACTGTCATACAGTCACTAAACAAAACAACACAGGAAGAAATTAAATAATATAGGTTTAGTGGATCTGTATTTTCATAGTCTGGAGTGTAGCATCAAAGTTCTAATATCTGCACATACTTTCAAGCTTTTTCTTTAAAAAAAAAAAAAATTAAAAAAATCTATATATTTTCTTCAGTCATGCATATTCAGTGTCTTTAGCAAGCAAGCTTTGGAATGCTAACATGAATAAAGGCAATAGGTGAACTTAAGTTATGAGTGGATAAAATATCTGCCTTCATACTGCTTGAGGGGATCAGTACAAAGACATATATCATAGCACTGATCCATGAACTAAGACTTTTCACATTGTCTGCCATTAGTACAGTCTTAGCCTCTGTTATATAATGAGGAATCTGAAGCTGGCATTAACTGTAATGGCTGCCAGTTACCCTTACCTTTGTTCCTGGTAGCCCTGGCAACCCAGGTTCTCCTTGCGGACCAATGAAACCTGGTTCACCCTTAAAAAATACCATATGAGAAGAATGTTAGATTATTTATTTAGCAGTAACTCAAGTTTCTTTTGGATAGTATTTTCCCTGTTTTACTTAGAGCTCTCCAGCTCCAATGCAACAGTTATCTAGACATACTTTTAAATATGAGTAACTTTCATCAGCATAAATTCTTGTAGCAAGTCATCACACAGCACATGAAAAGCAAAAGAAGCAGGTGTCAAACATAGTTTTAAGAGGTTAAGGACTGTTAATATGCAATCTGTTCTACAACATAATATACCAAAATTATACCAAAACAAGTATGAAGGCAAGAGGGGAGTTCTGAGTGATTTCTAAATTTAAAAAGGGACAGCTCATATCAGTCATGGGTTATGAGGTAGTTTTCTATCACAAATGTGAACAGATGGGCAGACAGGGTAAGGGTGCAACAAAGCAATGACAAATTGAGAGACCAGGTGGTACTGTTGCAATATGTGTTCAAGGGAGGTACTTAGCTGCATCATGCCCAAAAAGGGGGTCAAAAGTGATCTCTTTTCAAGTCAGAGACCCCCAGCATCATGGTACTCTCCCTTCTCATTCTGACAGTAAAATACTTCAGTTCTCTGCACCCAACAACTTCTCTGGCTGTGAACAGCTGGGAAAGAGTCACAGCTCTCCTCATTCCCCCTATTCTGCCCCCTTTCTGCCTATTCATTTGTACAAACATAACAGACAAATAGCAGGAATCAAGCTGAGTTGCAGCAGAAGCAGCATTAAACAGAAGAGTGAGGACATATTTTATTACCTATCTCCATGCCTGAAGGGGGATAATGGAAGATTAATAAGCCATATGGTTTCCTTTCCAAACTCTCCTGGACAAGGTTTGCTGCTATTTAATCTTGCATTTTTTTTTTCGTAAGTTTGAATCAAGAAGATACACTCACAAGCTATTGTAACTTTAAAAGTCAGTAGTGTAATCCAATTAATAAAGATCTAGTTATTAACCTTCTAACAGTATCACTGAACTGAAATGACTAAAAATTACCCATCAAATGCTTCTTCAAATAGCTAGAAGACAGATGTATCATAAACCTATGTTGATATAATTACTGAGAACATATAGAGACAGTAGATATGAGCAATTGGATAATATTTCTCTTCACCTCTTTGCCTCCACAGAAATACAGGCATGTTGAACGGGGTGAGCAAATGAGGAAGTATTCTTGCACATTCATCTGCATTCTCATCAGCAATCCATCATTAACAGTTCAAAGCAAAGAAAGCCTCTAGCAAATCTATAACCACAGAAATCTTTCCTGTGGCTATACTGAGAGCCATAGCAAGCTCGCAATGACCTCAATTTAGATTGTCAAAAAATATAACTAAATAATGAGTTTTCTCACATGAAGCTCCAGCTGGTCATGGTTCAAAATATGATAACAAAAGAATAAACTAAGACAAACACATCACAGAGAAGCTTGGGGTTTTTTTTTGCTGTTGTAGGAAAATAACCTTAGAGTTTAGATAAGTCTCTACATAAGCATAAGTAAGATTCTTTAGATGGGTCTTACTCAGCAAGAGTAACTTAAGGTTGTCATTGCAAGATGGAAGCACTTTAATGTCAGTAAATGAAGAACAATGCAGCTTCAATCACTTATTTTAGAATGAGAATGCACTCAATAGCCCCAGATTATTACATTATTTAATCTTTTCACTGGTAAAGCTTAAAAGTGTCATTCAGAGTTTGATGCACATCTTTTGAGTCAAACTGTTGCACTTTGCTTAGGACTATACCAGCTGCATACCGCAAGAAAACTTCTGGCTAATGTCCAAAAAGAAGTCCCAACTTTCCCCAAAATCTATAAGGAGCTAAGACTAAAGTTCAGTATCAATATTAGTGGAATTGATAATGGAAGAAGCTGGCAACTTATTATCGTTAGTAGAATATTATATGACACAGAGCTTTAAAACAATATCAAGTGTGGAGTGGAAGAAGTCATGCACTGGTAGAGACTAGGATGTGAGTGGCTGAGTAACAGCTCTGCTGAGAATAACAAGACACTCAGCAAAAAAAAGAAATGAGAACCTATCAAAATTAACACTGCCAACTATGTGTGAAATGTAAAGAAAACAGCTTCCTCTCAATAAGGCATGCTGGTGTCCCTGTTACACAAAGATATGAGAGAGACCATTCTGATTAGTCCATCACAGAAACATGATGCCAGAGCCATGGAGTAATGCAGCTAGGAAATCAAATTTTCATTTTTGTTTTAAATATGTAACATTTATGATTTAGCTGGCATATAGCTGCAGAAAAGCAAGAGTAAATGCTTGCTTTGGACTGCACTTTGATTTGACATCATAGCTCTGGGATTCAACGAAACATCCCCTGGTTCTATGTCTCTGTCATGGGTTCAGCAGTAGCAGTCATTTTTCCCCTTCTTGGTAGCTGGTGCAGTGCAATGTTTTGACTTTCAGCTCGGGAACAGAGCTGATAACAAGCGATGTTTTGGTTTGGCCAAGGACTTTGTGAGCCTCATGCTCTGCCAGGGAGGAGGGGAAGCCAGGAGGAAGCAGAGACAGGACACCTGACCCAAACTAGCCAAAGAGGTATTCCATACCACAGCACGTCATGCCCAGGAGGTAACTGGGAGCCGGAAGGGCCGGACGACGGCAGGGTTGGAGGAGGTATCGGTCAGAGCTTGGTCGGGCTGGGGGGGCGAGTTATCGGTTGGCTGGTGGTGAGATGATGTATTCTCTTCCCTTGTTATTTCCTTTATCATTATTATCATTGGTGGTAGCAGTAGTGATCTGTGTTATACCTTAGTTACTAAACTGTTCTTATCTCAACCCGTGGGAGTTGCATTCTTTTCGATTCTCCTCTCCGTCCCTCCGGGAGCAGGGGGAGGGCAAGAAAAAGGGGGGGAAGTGAGCGAACGAATTACCTGACTGGGTTTAAACCACGACAGTTCTTTTTGGCGCCCAACGTGGGGCACGAAGGGTTGAGATAACGACAGATCTGACCAGATTAATAGTCGCTCGTCACAATGCTGATTTATTGGCTCTCAGAGTTGTTTTGCTTGATCTCACAGCTTCAGAATGTTGTAACTTACGTAGAGCCGGTATTTGCTGTGATAGTGTTTATCAAGTGTGGGGCCTGGGCTAAGGTTCTTGTCTCACTGTGCTTTATGGCCATGGCTTGTAATACGGGCGGGCTCCAGCAGCAGGGCGGGACGGACGTGGCCGTGGACTTGTACCTGGCCGTCCGGCTGCTCTTCACCGCCCTGGCCCTCACCCTACTCTCCATCTTCGTGAGGCTGCGGGGAGCTGAGGGGGAGCGGCCCCGGGAGCCGGCGGCAGCCGAACCGGCCCGGGAGAGCGGCCCCGGGGACCAAGCGGCGGCGGGAGCGGGGCCGGAGGCCGCGAGGGGACGGCTGCCGGTGGAGGAGGTCGGGGCGGTCGAGGAGAGGAAGGAGGCGGCTGCCGAGCAGCGGGAGAAGGCGGCGGAGGAGCCGAGCCCCGCGGAAGAGCCGAGCCCCGCGGCCGAGCCGAGCCCCGCGGAGGAGCCGAGCCCCGCGGCCGAGCCGAGCGCCGCGACGGCCGAGAGCGTTTCCCGGAGGCCGCCCGCCGAGCCCCAGGAGGATGCAGGAGACCACGCAGCATTTCCCAGCAAGGCAGAGGAGGAAGAGCTGGACTCAGGAAAAGAGAAGCTGGTGGTGGGAGAGCCGGCAAGCACAGCAGCTACACCAGCCCCAGTGACAAGTACAGCAGCTACACCAGCCCCAGTAACAAGTACAGCAGCATCGTTTGAGAGTTCAGAAGGTTTTGAATGGCCTTTGGGTGTCCTTGGGACCTGCCTGCTGATTGTGGTGGGGATCAGCATGTTGGCACACACACAGACTGTGTTTTACCCACAACCATTTTGTCTGATCTCAGAAGTTAAGCAGAGTCAGGTTTGGGTCTTGTCTGGGGTTAGACAAGGATATAGGGGGACCAAAAGGTTTTCTCCAAGGCTGGACAGTGATGAGTGGCAGGGTGTGTGGGACAGTATGGGCAAGTATCTAGTCCACTGGGCCCCTCCAGTGCTTTGGAAGCGTCGGAGATGGAAGGCAGCTGTATGGAGTCCCCAGCAACAAGCTGCAGAAACTGCTTAAGGGGACAGTGAATTATTTTAAGCCTGGTGGGCCCATGGCACTTCAGGCCATCAGAGCAGAGATGCAACACAGAGATGGCCTCATGATCAAGGGGTGGACCTAGCAATGGACACTATTGCCCAAGTTATTCACGAGTGTGAACACTGCACACAGTCTCTCCTGCTCTGGAAGACTGTTACAAGAGATGGAGCCTGACATCATGGACCAGATGGACTCAGCAGCTTTATAGGGACTGGTCCATGCACTGAGATAAGAGTGATGGTATATTGAAAATGTGGGATCTGAGCATGACATGAATGGTATGGAATAAGGGGTGGATAATGTCATGGGTTCAGCAGTAGCAGTCATTTTTCCCCTTCTTGGTAGCTGGTGCAGTGCAATGTTTTGACTTTCAGCTCGGGAACAGAGCTGATAACAAGCGATGTTTTGGTTTGGCCAAGGACTTTGTGAGCCTCATGCTCTGCCAGGGAGGAGGGGAAGCCAGGAGGAAGCAGAGACAGGACACCTGACCCAAACTAGCCAAAGAGGTATTCCATACCACAGCACGTCATGCCCAGGAGGTAACTGGGAGCCGGAAGGGCCGGACGACGGCAGGGTTGGAGGAGGTATCGGTCAGAGCTTGGTCGGGCTGGGGGGGCGAGTTATCGGTTGGCTGGTGGTGAGATGATGTATTCTCTTCCCTTGTTATTTCCTTTATCATTATTATCATTGGTGGTAGCAGTAGTGATTTGTGTTATACCTTAGTTACTAAACTGTTCTTATCTCAACCCGTGGGAGTTGCATTCTTTTCGATTCTCCTCTCCGTCCCTCCGGGAGCAGGGGGAGGGCAAGAAAAAGGGGGGGAAGTGAGCGAACGAATTACCTGACTGGGTT